AAAGTACTGGTCCTGTTCACAGCTGTATATGTGATTGATACAACAGAAACAACAGGTTTCATTAGCATTACCACTCAATATATATTAATTTCGGCAATCTTTTTTCACTCCTTTCATTTTTTTTCATAGCTGGCACATTAGTTGTCGTTCTACCGCTTTTATAATTTAAAAAGTGCTGCTTATGTTTGATCGAAATCAGTGATAAAAAAAGTTATTAACGAATAAGGAAAGGCAAAAAAAAAGAATCAAAATCACCTGTCATCCAAATCTAAATCGGCAAGAGCTGCCGCTTTTTCAAACCATGACTGTTTGGAATGCATCTGCAAATTTAAACGTATAATTCCAGGTAAACATTACACCAGTACTTAATGTAAAAGGGAAAAACAGACTAAGCACCAATAAAGAAATAATTAACAAAACGACGACACGAAAAAACTGAAGGAGAAAGGGACTTCGATACGCATAGTTACGATGAGGCAATAATTTCCCACTTTTTTTAATCGATGTTCGACACTTTCAACTGCTGTTGCAACTTCAACTCGCCCCTTCAAAACATTGTACAGCTCAGGCGAATCAACCGGAAAGATTGGCAGCTCGTTTTCTGCAAAAAAACCAGAATAATCTTCAACAATGCTCATAAGAGGTTATAAATGAGGACAAAAATGTTCAATTTTAGGGACACTGTAGAAAATAAAAAAGACATGGAAAGGGAAGAACAAAACATAATATAGGCGATGTCGCGCAAAAAAAAAGACTGACTAAATGCTATTCAATGTTTGACTGTTTTGTTTCAAACGTCAATGTTAAGCGATCTTGATTTTGGTCACATGAAATAACAGGAATCACATCCCATCGCACCACTTCAAAAATCTTATCCATACAAACATTGAAAGTAACTAATGACGATCGAACCTCTGCTTAAATTTCTGCAAATTCTTTGGTAATACTGAACGTCCTGCGGATCGACCAATAAAAGAGCAAGTCCTGTTTTAGTAGCCCGCGCTGTACGACCACATCGGTGAATATAAAGCTGCAAAATGCTGTTGAAAAGACACATATCCCAGTTTCAGCGCATACTGCAAACTGAGGTACTAAAGGTGGAACCTGAACTTCATATAATACCGCTTGAAAATAACCAAAACAGATCG